CCTAGACCAGCAAGCCACTATGCAAAGGAATGTTTTATGTGGCGACTTTATCTGCTGACAAACTGGAATTCTTCGAAAGACATTTTAATGATAGACATAGTGCCCTATAAAACACATAACATCTGCAAGGGCTCATCCGGGATTTGAACCCAGGACCTTTCACACACAAAGCGCGAATCATACCCCTAGACCAACGAGCCACTAAATTGAATTTATTTCACATGGTGTCAGAAGCATCAGATAGTCAGAAAACTTTCTCTAACGAATCAAGGGCACCCTAAGCGAGAATCATACCCCTAGATCAACGAGCCACTGCAAAACAGTAACTTTATATGGCAACACTATCAGCTGACGAACTGGCATTCTCAGAAAAAAGGCCTCTGTGTAAGCCACAACGCCCTTACAAAACAGCAGACAACTGTAAGGGCTCAACCGAAATTTGAATCTGGGATTTCTCACAGCATGAACGAGAATCATAGTCCTAGACAACCAAACCACTATGCAAAGGAATGTTTTATGCGCCGACACTATCTGCTGACAAACTGGAATTCTTCGAAATACATTTTTTTGTCTTTATTTTAACAAAACAAAAAAGAACAGAACAATGACAACAGCTTACAACCAAGAAATTTCTTAGCATCACAGCACATAATGAAAAATCAAAATCAAAAAGAAGACATAAAAATACGGAGTAATAATAAAAATAGAAAAGTACATAAATTAACCAAAGTTTATGGTGATCTAAGGTTTTGCAAAAATGTACCTGAAATCCTAGGACCTACATATTCAAGCAACGGAGTCCAGATCTGATAAAAAGTGTTTTTCTATGGAGAGAGATTAGACTCAATAATAATTCACGCAAAAGACACGATGTACACATGCGTAGCCAAATTCACATGCGTAAAATATTTATTTATACTCACAAAAACAATTCACATGCACAAAATAAAAATACATTTTCACAAAATACATTTCACAAATGCAAAACACCATTTGCAAATATATAAGAGTGTACAAAAAGTTTTGAATGTTTAAAATTCACGAGTTCATCCTGAATGAGAATGTGCAAATCCTCTCTCACGTACGACTCACCCTGAATACGAGTGTGTGCATTTTTGAGACTTTCCTGTCAGCACACACCTCCCACGTGAGTCACTCGTGCCCTGTAGCCAATAAGATGCGAGCTTACTGTTCAACCAATCACAACTCCCTGAGAATGTGGGAATGACCGAAGCGCTTCACTGTGCGCTCCATTTGCGCAGTCTGACCTAATTAACGGAGATGATCCTCTAAGAAGAAGAATACTCCTCTATTTAGCATGGCAGGTGAAGAGCGGGATGCGCGGGTAAGTGGTTACTTGATTTCTATAGTGGTTTATGTATGCAAAGATTAAGTATCAAACGTTTGTTAAAGCAATGGCTGCTGTTGTTTATAATGTAAACTTTATAACGTAAATTAAGTCCGTTATTAAGCCAACATGGCGAGTGAAGAACGGGATGGTCGTGTAAAATAGCATGGCTTCTGTCATGGTCGATTCTAGGATTGTCATTCAAGGGAGCTCAGCTATAAATTTGATCGAGGACTAATTTGGGGGTGGAATCGATCGCGTACTAAAGTGAAGACCGGGAGAGCGTAATGCCGTTTTGGGTGTGGGTGGGTATGGGGGGTGGAGAGAGGAGATGATCGCCGACTGTAAGGAACGGGCGGGGTGGGGGTCGGCAGTGTTGATCGCGGACTATGAAGATAACAAATGATAAAAGGTATAATTGGTATTTGTCTTACAGGCACTGTCATCAGAAGTAGAAATAGCAGCAAAAGCTCTGATCGATGTATTAGCCAGGGGCCTTACTCCATCTTCGTAAAGAAATGCACTAGCTAGTGGTAGTAGACCAATGAGAGAAAGCATCTCAAGTGGGACCATTCCTTTGCCTGCAGAGCCTGAAAACATGGTAAGGCAAGCCTTAAAAAGGTAATTTTTCATGTTTACTGTAAAACACAACTTTTTGTGTCATGCAAAAAATGTTTCTTATTATTAATATGTTTATTCATTTTGCCCTTTTGTCACTATAGGCAATTCCCAAGTATGTTTGGGACAGAGATTTTTCTGTGGCCAAACCTGGAAACATTAAAAAAACTGATTTTCAAATCCATGTCCTCTCTGAACCATCACCCTTCACACCAAAAGGAGATGAAGACCTTGAGCTTGTCCATGCTGGACTTGGAAAAAGGCTTTTAACTGTTCCAGATAATTTTAAACACAGTGAGGTAATTGCAAATGTTACCATAATACTAGGAATTGATGGGAGTTTTATATCTGTTGGAAAAAAAAAAAAAAAAAAAAAACTAAATGATGAATTTTGTTTCATTCTTAAGATTGTCAGTCTGCTTGAAGGAGAGTTTCCCAAATTAAAAACACTTCAGGGTGGCTGGATGTTTTACAAGTCTACAGGTATTTATGTTTTGCATGTTACATATAAACAAAAAATGATTTGTGTGCATTTGCAATAATTTTGCACTTTTGTAAATTAATGAAACTGGTATGTGCTTTGTTGGCGTTAATAATTTAGTAATAAGCTTCATTAGTTTAAACTTTTTAGTCAAGCACATGTTTCTCTGCCATGTTCTAAGATTATGGCATGCCCTACTTCAGTTTTCCAGTGGTAAACAGAGCTTTATTGAACATTTCTGTCCAAAATTTTAGGTGACACATTTATAACAATATTGCTAGCCCAAGAAGGCAACAGTAGTCCTGAATGTGATTCTCAATTGATTTTGCCATTAGGTGGTGGTGGGCGGCGTAAGCTGTCTATAATTCCCACAGATGCTGATGGATACTCAACTCGACTCCTAAAATCAGTGTCAAATAATGGAAAGAACATGCTGTTTGTAGTTCCATTACAGGAACAGCTTTCCACTGAACCATTACCTTATGATTCTGTGGAGTTTGCTAAGATGCCACAGTCCAGCTGTATGAAATGTGGTAAGAAAATACCACTGCCATTGCTGCCCTTACACATTGAAGAGTGTAAAGAAGCTGAGACAGTAAGTCATACAGTATTATGGTTTTATTTTTCTATCAATATTATTTATTTACAATGCCAATGCATTTTGATTACTTTTATTAGGAGTCTTCAAATGATGTGACCATTCTAGATGATGATGTAGACGAAAATGTAATCGAAACTGTTGACCAGCCAAGCCCACTTCACCCCATCTTAGAACCATCATTACAGGTCTTTGATCAAAGCCTATTTCTTGTATTTGGGTATACTCACTATATTTGAATATACCCAATTCGTGGTTCCATAAAGAATGTGTTTGAAGCTATTCAAAATTTGAGACTATTCTTAATATTTTAGAATCTTTTTATGGGGTAGAATATGTATGTTCTTCAACAAATTTGCTACAAACATACATTGTTTAATTTATTTTTACTTTTTACAGATTTGTCCAATTTGCCAGATCTCTTTCCCAACTGATGTCTTGCCTTTTCATGCAAGCATGTGTGGTGAAGGGTAAAGTTATGCTAAAAATTGTAGGATGACATGCCTTTAATACTAAAGGATTAGTTTGCACAGTTTGTTTTGGTTGTATATATCTCGAGGGAGATGTACAAAGATCAGATGGAATGTAGGGTAAAAAATTAACAAAATAATTTTCTGGTGGACTGTCTTAAATTTAAATTAATGTGTTGGTTTCATAAACTGGGTCAGTAGTAGACATTATTAGATTTGATGTATGTAGCTTTTATAAGCCTTGCTTTGAGAAAATCATTACTGGTGACTTTTGACATTAATGACTATAAACAGTATGTCATTGTAAGTTACATCCAGACTTTGTCTGGCACTAGGGTCTAAGCCTTGTCTATGAAACTGGGCAAATGCTTTTAATATGCATGAAAATTTTTGAAGTGGCTTAATGAACAAAATTGAAATTGTTTGTGTCTTGCCTGTTTTAGAGAAAGGACTTTTGGTGACAATGATTCTTCATTCACTTTAAATACAGAAGAATTGCCAGGACCCTCAACTGCACAATCTTCAACATCCCTGTCTGCAGGTTAGACACAACACATTTAATTTTTTTTTAGTGCTGTTGTACTGTAAAATGATAAGTGCATCTTTATTCATTTATTCTTTCATCTTTTTTGTATTGTTATTCAACTATGCTTGTAAAATGGTATTTAGATAAATTGTTCATTTGATTTCAGCATGGAAAAATGAAATTGACCCATTCAAATCATCTCGAATGTTCTGTGATGAGTTGCTCTCCATCAATTCACACTGTCCATCTCTATCATTACTCATCAACCAGTTTGATACTATGGATGAACAAGATAGTACCCTGGTTTCATTTTATAAAATGAACAGTGCTAATTGGTCCACTCCATTGAAATATAGATTGACTGGTACTTCTTTTTTATTATTAAAATCATTTGAATCGCTTATAGTCTGTACAGTTTGTGCAACGAACTTGCTTCATTTTGTATTTTTTTTTTAGGAGATGCAGCTGTTGGCAAGGGAGTTAACCGCCATATTTTGTCAATGATGATGCAAAAACTGAAGACTGGCTTCACTTTAAATTTGGGTTTGTAATTGGTTGCAGTTCGGTTACATGTGCACACACACACACACACACACGCACACACACATATATACATATATATATATATATATATATATATATATATATATATATATATATATATATATATATATATATATATATATATAAAGTTAATTTTCGTCAACACTGCCTGTAACCCTGACCTTTTTCTGTATGATTTCGTGCACTGTACTTGAGAAGCCTTTTGCACACCTGATAAGATGTAAAATGTTCATAACATTATCTTCTATTTACTGGTGGGCAATGCAGATCGATGCTGACTGGTACCACCACAGTGCATACAGAGAAAACATTTGTTTAGAATTTTACAGATGTGATTTGATGTTTTATGTCTCTTTTGCTTTTGGGCTATTACAGATTTTATACAACTAGTACTATTAGTTAATTCTTACTGATTGGATTTTTTAGGTTCATCTACTACAGCCCTTTTTGAGGGGGAAAAAAACCACCGTGTACCTTCTGCATCTGCTGTACTACGGGACAGCAACCTGTTCCAGATGGCTGGCCGGATGATAGGCCATTCATTTTTGCATGGAGGTCCTAGTCTTTCTGGACTGAGCATACCTGTGGTCATATAATCAGCTCAGACCTTGTTTATTTTAAAATAATTTAATTCACAGGAATTAGAAAAATAAGAAAGTTACATTTCTTTTCTAATTCTCCCCAAAATTAAAGAACTTCAGTTAAAATGATTAATGATGTGTCTCCATCAAAAGAATTCCTGAGATTAAAAGTTGATACTGAGGAGAACTTGTCAATTTTGTGAAAGTTATTGAAAACACTGAGCATGTTTATACAATTGCATATACTCATGTACATGACTCATAACACATAATGTCGCGCAGATCATTAATTCTATTTTATTTACTTGTGTAAATATATATTTATTCACTTTTTAAATTAAATACAGTAATATTATTGACTAATATAAAAATGTTTATCTGATTTATGTACAATGCAGTTTTTACAGTAATATTTTTGTCTTTTAGTAGAAATATTATATGAGTGACTTGCTTTGTTTATCAAATAAAGTGTATCTAATTGGATTTGCATTTTAAACATTAAATAAAAGTTTAAAAGATAATATTTTTTGTTTCACATATTTAGGTTTTAGTTATAATACTCCCAAAATATTTTGGCAGAAATCCACAGATTTTTATCAATATTCTTCGCAGAAATAGCAAAAAACGTTGACAGATTCTTTCTGGCCCTACTCATGACTCATAATACGTAATGCATAATACAGAATGTCTCATGTCAATATCCATTTAAACCCTTTTTACAATAAACAAGTTAAATTTGGTGTAACTAAAACAAATTGTACACAGCATTACCTGGTTAACAACCTTTTATGCTTTGCAAAACATTCTTCATTTATAAATGCAGGTTTTTGGACCTTCTTTTTAAGTGTGACTTTGAGATTATTAGACTCATGAAAGGCCTAATAAAAGTATCCTCTTTCAATTTTTATTTTGCTCACCTATCATTGCTGGTTAGTAATAGTATATATATATATATATATATATATATATATATATATATATATATATATATATATATATATATTAGGGATGCACGATATATTGGCGGCCATATCGGTATCGGCCGATAAATGCTATTTTTAGGACTATCGTTATCGATTCGATGTCTAAATTCGGCTGATATCTTTAAGCCGATAAATTACGTAATTGTACAGACTTGCGCGCTGCGCACGCTTGGGCGGATCTTGTTCAGACTTGCCCACTGCACTATAATGGATCTCTCTTCACACTGTTTATTCCTTCAAAGTCTGTAATTTCTTCAAGTGGTATTGCTGTGCGTTAATAAGTCAGTAAGTAACCATGTTTCTTATCATTGTAGATGTGTTTGATTGAGTGTCATTGTGTATTTTGCTTTAAATCGCCTCAGGAAAAATATTAAGTATGTAAACCTTTCCAGCTCTGTCTCTTTGTTGTGTAGAGATAGCAGGGGATCTTAACTTATTACTCCAGGGCCAAATAATATTAGTTTCGTGGTGAATTGCCTTCTCTTTTAGTTGCAGCCGGTGAATGAACGAGGACACATGTAACTTGGTCCAAAATATTTATTACTTTTCGTGTGGTACAACAAATCAGTCACCTAAAATAGTCTCATTGCCCAAAAACCGCTCCTCTCTCTCTCCCTCTCCCTCTACGCTTCACACACACACACACCAAACTGCAACTGGACCCGCACATTTTACAACAAGTGTAAACAGTTGTTTGTAATCTGATTATTTGTTATTATCAACACGTTGCTTGTCATGTGTTGTTGATGTAAGATGTATTCAGTTTGATCGAAATATTCATATTGATTATGACGAGCGCGCGAGCTGTCACCGCGCACACACACACACTGTAGCACGGGGGAGAGGTGAATCCAGTCATAGAGGCTCTCGACCAGCGGCTCATTCTGTCTTTATATTCAGCTCTGTTAGCCATAAAGTCAGCTCATTGCAGGTTTTGTATGAAAGTCTGACTCTGATGGCAACTCTTCCTCTACAGTTGAGTAAAACTCAGCGGTTTATCATAAACTTTTCATCGATCATTTTCCCCCCGCAATTGACAGCAAGAACGAGCGCAGACGCATCTGATTGACAAGCAGCAGCTACATGTTCGAAAGAATCTAAAACGCCAAATAGCATGAATCTGTGCCGCATTTTCTAAACGTACTATCTGTAAGCTATTTACTTGTACGGTGGCTCTGAACTGTCAAAACACCTCTAAAAAAGGCTTTTTCGTACATGACGTATTTGTACATGTGTACATCACTGTAACACGTTTTATTCAAGAACATTTGAGCTGGTTTCAGTCCTTAGTGCTTTCATTCTCATCTTATTTAAATATATTTAATTTGCTT